GGATATTCTAAAAGAGAATAGACTAAAGACTGACTCTGGGTTTTGACCCAAACTTCGAAATTAAAAAAAAAATCGTCTTAAATTTTAAAAACAAAACTAATACTACAATGTAACTAAAAAAATAAAAACTTTCAAGTGGATATTTCTAATGTCGTGAAACGTTTTTGTCTACTAGCTAATTTAACTAATGATTTAGTGTTTATACACTAAAATAGTTGTTTCAGAAATGAAAATGAACAAGTTGTAGAAAGGAGTCAACGTCATAGTTAAGATAGATGAAGCTCGAGCTAGAGAGCTGACTAGGACCTATCAGACTACCTCATGGAATGTTTGAAATGATAATGATACTTCTTTTTGGATATATATTGGCCGACATTGGTTAAACATAACAAGCCCTTTTATTTTAGTATGATTATCTAAAACACTAATCTTAATAACTTACAAAGTTTACAAAAAAAATACTATATGTTCAAATTTCAATCCATTTGTATAACATTTTAAATTCATCGTTTGCTTACCATCTATCATTTATGCGTTTTGACCTCTTTTTTGGTTTGAAATTTTCTGATTTTAGAAGAATATTCACCAAACTAAAACTAAATTAAACATGGATCGACTTAGCACATTTTTATTTTGAATTCAATTTTTTGTTTTTTGAAAACCTCCTTCATAAAAGAAAAGACCTTACAAAACAATAATGGTAAGTCGTGTAATAACTGTTTTGCTAACGACTCCTCCAACAAATTGATATATCGCATAATCTAAAAAAAATATATATAACAAAACAACGAATATTTAATATCATGAAGGATTCTAGAGATTTTCTTGGTTCAATCTATTGTGTTGATGGTTTTAATAATATTTTACGCATTTCATTTCATGCAAAATTTAGTCAATTTTAAGCTAACGCATGGTTTAGGGTGGCTTGGATTGATAGAATTTTCGTTGTCCTTTTGAGTTCACAAATTGTTTTGATTGAATACACTGATCAATCGACGTTGTTGTTTGGTTATGAAAAATTAATTTTTGTTCTAAGCTAATGTCGGCTCTCTAGATCGAAGCTTTAATTTGAAGAATTTTTTCATTGAGGATAGTTATTTTTTTTTAATCATCTGAATATTATATTAAACAGGGTGAAATATTTGGATAAATTACAAAGATGGAATACAAAGGTAGAATACGAGGATAGAATGCAT